CTACCATGCAAAAGTGGAATCTGGATCTCAAAGATCTAGAGTCGCGATTAAACAAACCTATGAGTGAACAGAATAGCAGCGGGCCACCTGTCCAACTTATACACCAAGAGACCTTCTCAAATCATAGCGGGAAACAAATATGGTCCCATGCGACTGTTCCTATATCATACGGGCTTCTCATTGCTACTGGTGGCGCAGATGGTAAAATAGCTCTTGTGGAGCATCAATCAGATGGCAGCATGACAGCTATCATCGAGAATACCGAAGAAGGCTACTCGAAATCGAGCCAAGAGTTTGAGATGTCCGCTTCTGACCTTCTTCAGCTCAGCCACAGCGGAATTGATGATGCTCCTATGCTATCGACTAACGGTCGAACGAAAGATACAATCCAGAGCTTTACCTTCGTCAGAGAGGATAGCATATGCATCGCAACAAAGAGGGGTTGCGTCTTTATGGGAGCACTCGGTGACGATAGCATTGACTGGAAAGTGTTAACTATTCTAGACACCACACGACAAGTTATTCAATCGTATAGCCTTCTTAGAAGATCCAAACGAGCTTCAATAGCTTTTCTAGCTGCTACGAGTGGAGAGCTCTTCTACTACCATGAGTCTGATCCCGATTCAATGAAGCTCTTATTTAAGGCCGAGAGAAAAATCACCGAGATTTTCTGCATATCTGATGCCGTTGATGTCGACAGCGAGCAAACCGAACTCCTCATTACGCCTTTCGGAAGCTCAAACGTCGTACTATTACATCTTGATGGTGAAAGACACATCATATCACAACATGAAGTTTCAATACCAGATGGTTACGTCGCGACATCCGCGGCCTGGTGTCACTCATACCTGATCATCGGGTTCCGCAACAGCAGCATCTCAATCTTTGAGAAAACCTCTGAGGGTCATTTTTCTCTCCTACTTACCGTGAAATTACTAAATAAGAGCGATAGAATTACATCAATCCTCGCGCTTCCACGGCGATCCGAATCACACCCTCACTACTTCCTCACAACTTGCCGCGACGGGAAATACCGGATCCACGAGATAATAAGGGAAGAAAACATCATCGCTGTACGTCTACTACATGAAATAATACCGCCCATTGGGCCCATGCTCGAAGGCTCATGGCTTGTCGACAACACCGACGGGACTCAAGATCTCATGCTCTGCGGTTTCCGTAGCCAGAACTTCGTGGTATGGAACGCGACGAAACAAATAGAAGTCAAAGCAATTGACACAGCCAACGGGCACCGAGTCTTCGACTACATGACACTAAGAGACAATCCCAACGGTCTCCGCTTCGCCTTCGCCAAAGCCTCGCAAGTTAAGATCGTCTCGGAAACACACGTACCACACACATTTCTCAAACAGGGCGGCCACGGCCGCGAGATCAAAGCTATCTCTTCTTCGGGCAGATTTGTTGCGACGGGTGCTGAAGACACTACGATTCGGCTATGGGAATTAAGCAGTGTTACCGGGACATTGCGGTGCGTTCATACGCTCGAGAAACACACTACCGGCATCCAGAAGTTGAAATGGTACAAGGATCAGTACCTCTTCAGCAGCGGGGGAAATGAGCAGTTCTACATCTGGCGCATCAACCATCTTGAGAGCGATGTCTGTCCCTTAGGCGTTGTTTGCGAAGCTGTTTTCCCGGATCGCTCTGAAGTGGGCGATTTGCGTATTCTGGATTTTGATGTGGGCTATGCGGGTACCACACCTTGCAATGAGAACCAAGGGCAAGAGGTCGAAGATTCTACTACCAAGCGAGAAGATCCAATGATATGTATCTCTATGGCTCTTTCAAACTCTACAGTCCAGAGCTACCTCTACTCGTCCGGCCAAGGCTTCAAATTACTAGGAAGACGAACGTATACTGGCGCCTGTATCATACAGCTCAGGCATCTCGAGTTTTCTCACGATGGTTACTCTCAGATTCTAGCGGCAGCCACTGATGGCCATCTCATTGTGTTCACGAGTATACGAGCACTAGCCACCGAGGAGTCCGCGGATATTCTTGTCTCGAGACTTCATCAGAGCGGCATCAAGTCGCTAGATTTGCGAAGGGTCCAAATAGATAAAGGAGCCTCGTACTTGGTAGTGACGGGAGGCGATGACACTGCCATCGGGATGGTGCATCTACATTTCGAACAACCTAGCCAGGTGAATGTCTCATTAGATGCCGACTTGTCTGGTTCAATAAGTACCACCCTCTCCAACCCTTATAAAATACAACAAAAATTCATCTTCCGCTCGGCGCACGCCGCAGCCGTCACCGGCCTCGCGATTCTAGACCTTGAGAATGGAGGTCGGGACGCTGTCGTCGTCAGCACGAGTAACGACCAGCGTGTCAAGACTTGGCGTCTTGTGGACTGGTGGAACAACCTTCGTGTGCAGTTGCTAGATGACCAGTATAGCGGTGTTGCCGATGCTGGAGACTTGGAGGTTTTGAGTGAGATAGGATCATCGCGGAAAGAAGATGGTAAAGCAGGGTGCAAGAGGTTCTTGGTTGCTGGTGTCGGGATTGAGGTATACTCTATTTAAGACATCTACATACCAGTACTTCATACAAAGGTGGTGATTCCTGTTGGGCGCCTATCCCTTCAATTGTCAAACCAACCGCAACAGCTTGTAATCTAAGCTTTACAAAACCAAAGGATCTACACCTCAATGCTTACTCTTCTGATGTGTTGATAACTCCTGTCTAGTACATTGGCGATCACTTCGTTACTTGCAAAGCTTAAGGCATAAGCTGTTGCTGATAATTTGACCATCAGAGGGGCACTTTATGTGCGTGACTGATTAGTTGTTCGTCCACGACGCTACGGGCCATGGTAAAACTGAGTGAACGTGGTGTAAGTTTTGCAGGCGGATTGGTGATAGACTGCTATTCAAGGGCAAGAAGCCACCGAATGCGGCTCAACATCACGCCCCTTACGAAGTAATGAAGACGAGCTTGTGTATAAATATAGAAAGCAAAGCAACTTGAATATATTTATCTTGACTACTACGTGTCTAGGAGTCGCAATTCCTATCTTAAAGTCTCTACCTAGGCCGTGAAGACCTCAGTTCACACCTTCAACAATGGGGAAATAAAGGTCCAAACACAGACCTGTCCCATGGCGAAAACGCAATCAAGTTACATACGACACCTTCCGTTACTCAGGTGAAGAAATATCCTCTTCCCAATCATACCATAACTCCTTTGTCCGCAGTTTTGTAAAAGGCCGGAAGTCTTCGTCATAAAGATCACGAGGCATCTTCAATCCGTCCCCGTCAACGTGGTAGTCGTCGCAGTCCCTGAACTCCTTGGTGGTATGAAGTCGTAGCTCTCGCAGTGGATGAGTGACACACTGGAGACAGTTGACAAAGTCCTTCGGCCACGTCTCTTTGGCCAGCTCTTCTGGATCATCCACGAATCTCGCAGCGCAAGATCTGTACACAAAGCGCTCAAGCCTCGTACATCCGGAAAGGAGGTTCTGTACAGATTCTGCTGACAAGCAACTGTTTGTGATTTCCAGCGAGCAGAGATTCCCTAGCCTCACAGGTTCCGAGAATTCCCGGCAGTTACTTATCGTGAGTTCTTCCAAGCTAGGCGCGGCGTTGAATAGACTCGCGAAGCTTGCGGCGTCGCACCAGTAGAGTGTCCAGCCGTCGTCTTGTGCATGATCCCCAAAATCCCCAGAATAGCTGCCCAAAGTGGCCTCTCTCAACGATAAGGGGGATTGTGGTCGCAGTCGTAAGTAGAATTCATCAGGAAGCTCGATGGATTTTAGATTAGGTAGAATCCGCAGAATCGTGTTGAGCAACACTGATTGCCGCATTATTTTCAGTTTTTGGCACTCGTGTTGGGACCGTCGAAACCAAGGGCCACCGCCGCAACCACAGGCTTCTCTCTCAGAGCCATCGAAGTTTCCATTCAGAAGCCACTTGCTCGGCATGTGATGGGTAACTCCCAGACTGCGTATGGCTCTATCCAGCATCTCGCAATCGCTCTTCTCTACAGGGCCGATGGGGTTCCAATGGTCGGCTGTGAAGTGGCGCTCTCTCAAAGCAAGCTCGCGATCTCGGAGAATATCCCGGGCGTAGCGCACGAAGCTGAATTCGAAGAAGTCTGCGATTTCGTTTTTTCTCTTCTTCAATTCGGCGAGAATCGGTTCGACGATGGTGTGCGTGGTTTTGCATGTTCTGCTCAGTCGAGCAAGACTATTGCAGCTGGTTCTAATGGAGTTGATATCTGCGTAAATGCGCGGTTCTCGAAGGCTGTCATTGAAGAGGTGGATGCAGATCTCTATGATCATCTCTGATGGAAGGTGCAGCAGTCATGAAGAATCCATGATGAAAGATCCTCGCGAAAGGAACTTATATGAGATGGAAGGAGCTTGGTGCTAATGTTTCGTGCAGTACGGAATGTAAGGTGTCAAGGGCATAGAGGTACTGCTAACAGCGAAGTTTGACAAGAAGAGTGATATATCGTTGAAGATGGAGATGATAGCAGTGCCTACAACAAGGGAGATGGCAGGTGCACAGCAGAGAAGCATTGAATAAATTGGTCATTGCCCTCCAACACAATGAATTCACTTCAGGCAATTGACGCACATCTGCATGACTTTTTAATCACCCGAATAACCATACTCCTCCCTCTCCCCCTTTTCTTTGTTGTCAGAACTACAACTGCCAAGCTGGCACTCATACTCTACAGCAAATCCGAAGAGCTTTGGAACAGCTATGGGATCCTCCAATGCTAATATCAACCCAAACTTGTAGATATTCTTCTCAATGTGTAGTCGGAATTTGGGGTTAATTCAACCCTCCCCCTCTTTGAATGAGTTCTAAGTGCTATCACGATTATCGATGCCTTTCGCACCCAGCGTTATTGTAAGGGCTACTTTTCGAGGGTGCATTTGCGGAATGCTGATTGGCTTATGATAGAAAGAAAACTCTCCACTTTCATCAGTTATACGTATTAAGTACAAATAAGACGACTTTTAGCTCACAGTTCTTGTGGCCTAGTGGTTAGGGCGTCTGTTTTACATGTCCGCGTGATTTTGATCACAGAAGATCCCCGGTTCGATCCCGGGCGAGAACATCATAACTTAATCACCCTACGTTTTTTGTTCTCCATTTTTGTATCCGCCCTACATGAATACATATTGTTCTCTGATCTTTATCTCCAATTGTCGTTACAAGTCCAATTGGTTTAGTCCCTAAAGTGTTTGTTCTGAATGAGGTCCCCTCACGTGCAGCGAATTGCCTACTGTTTTTTTGTTTAGGAGGTAGATAGCGCACCTCTCTAGCATGTACGTACATACCTCACAGTCAGCCTGAGAGTATACTGCTCCTGATAAGTTTGGCCCCATGCTCAGCGACGCCGTAGATTGTGGCTTGGGGGTTGGTCCGCGGGGTCAGTGGAATGATACTTGCATCACAAACATGCAGATTCGCCGTGCCGTACACTCGCAGCTGAGGGTCAACCACGCCGCCCATCTCACGCGGAAGCATCGAGCAGGACCCAGTGTAGTGATGCGCGCCAACGACACGGTCGCGAATGAAACTATTTTCAGGTCAGACATTTCGTGATTAAATTTCTTCATCGAAACAATTGAGATCTGGGTCGGGAATGGGGAGGAGGAAGGATTTGGATTGGTTGTTGATTGAGAAACCTACTTTTTGACCACTTCGAGGTCCTTCAATGCTCCAGCACCGGGAGATCCAATCGCCCTCTTACCATCAGGCTTCACCCACTGGCCTAAGGGCTCTGTCTCAGCCAGATCCTGCTCGATGAATTGAACATGTCGCGCCATGACCTCTAAGTCGAGCGGGTGACTAAAGAATTTCGGGTCGATCTCCAGCTTCTGTTCTGCGCCGGTACCAACGACATGAACAGAGCCACGCGACAGCGGGTGCGATAACAAGCAGACGACAGTGACATAGTTGTCCTCGGACCCGTCACGTGGTGGCAGCGCATTGCTGCCATCCGGATTGTAAGTCGCGTATGCTGGTCCGAAAATGTAATATCCAGATGCCTCGGACGGCGACGACAGAATGGACTGAACGAACTTCTCATGCGCCACTAGGAAGGGATCAGTTGGATGTGTGCCGGTGTTGCTGCTAAGGAGACTCTCTAGCTTCGTCTTCCCCGTGGACGTTTCTATGCCCGGCAGAAGTAGCAGCGCAGCCGATGTCACGCCACTACTAGCGAACACCCCCGTGTGGCGTTGCATATACTCGCCCATGGCGGCGCCCAAGACATCCGGGTCCTGTCGCAAAACAGCTCGCATAAAGGGGTCCATGGTAGGCGGGGCGCTATCACTTACTTCAAACGATACTGTCACCATAGGATGGTTCTGCAAATTCTCACCCACGCCCGGGACGTCTACGACTAAATCATCCTTACCGAGTCGATGAGAGCCACCGATACCAGAGAGCTCGAGGATCTTGGGGGATCCGAAAGCTCCCGCCGATAAAACCACCTTTCGCCGTGCGATGGCCGTCTTCGTTGTGCCGGTCGCAGACTCGGTGTATTCGACCCCCGTTGCGATTGCAGTACCGTTCTCATTGACCTCGCCGCTGCTGACACCGGATTTGCTTAGAAGGACCCTTCTCACCTCAACGCCTGTGAGTACCGTCAAGTTGGCGCGCTGGCGAATTTCCGGAGTCAGGTACGCGTTGGCTGCATAACTTCGTATACCCAGTACCGGATCAACTGTATCTGCTACCATAAACCCGCCAGCACCAGTAGCCTGATCGGGGAGCTTTCTCTGAGCGCCTGGATACCCCAACGAACCGATCGTATCCGCCCATATTTTCGGCCATCCACTTGCGTAGTCATCGACATAGGCCAAACTCAAGGGACCCTGGCTCTTCTTAAGTCCTACGAGAGCCGGGGGAACCTTGGCCACAGTATAGGATTCCGACAAGGATTGTGAGAAAGAGTCCCATTCCCAACCGGGGTTGCCCAGCGCTACCCACTCATCAATGACTGCTCGAGAAGTGGCGGTGAATAAGAGCCCATTGAGACCGCTGGAACCGCCCAGCATTTTGCCCTGCGGGATAGTGATTTCACGACCGTTCAGGCTCGTCTATATCGAGGGTTAGCATCTCGCGAGCTTTTCGTTAAAGGGTAGTAAACCGTCTGCTGTGTTCTTACTTGGGGGACAGTCTTGAGATCCCAATCGACAGTTGTCTTAAGTAGCTGAGTGTTCGCGGCCGGTGTCAAGACGGTTTGCCTAAGCTCCTCTGGCAACTCCGGTAAGTCCGGCCCGGCTTCGAGGACAAGAACATGCAGTTCAGGGTCTTCGGATAGACGTGAGGCTACGACGAGCCCGGCTAGTCCGCCGCCCACGATCACGACGTCAAATGCGTTGTTGGTTTCTGAAGTCATCTTTGAATGAGAGAATGGTGTGAATCATTGTTTCACGGCCGGTGAACGCGATGAGTAGTGGGCATGCCCGAGGATTTGCCTGTCATTTATATTGTTTGCACATCCTTGCGCTCCCTTGCGTCCCCAGCTATCTTCACGATGTAATCCGTAAGTTCCGAATACTCAGTATTGGAGGTTTGTAAGCAGACTAAACATTCTTATTTAACCAAAGGGCTTAGCTTGCAGCAAAGCGTTCTGCGCAGGGTGCTCCACTTCTCTACACTTTTCAATCGCTCGCTCAAACCATCGATCGTCAAGAAGCCTCTACGTGCTGAGAGACTCACGCTGGAGAATTGCTTCTCTTACTTTGGTTTCTCTTTCTATATGGAATTTCATTCTGGCTTGTCTGGGGTTACGTTTCTACCCCGATCTTAGTAATTCTATACAGTCGGCTATCTATATGCGGAGTATCTGGGGTGTGTTGTAGTCTGAAGAAGGGAAGAAATGGGGACGTTATATTACCTTGATATCTCCATTGAGCTCTAGACCTCACCACACGAATATGACATTCTCCCCAGTCTACAGGGCACTCATTTCGAGCATTGGATTGAAGACAACTGTCTTGTTTAGATGTTTTGACAGGCAGGTACTCTCGTAATGACTCCTACCCGTTGGCTGTGCCCCTTGCTTCACTCTCCCCTTCTTGGGGTCCCAACACTTTTTGTATGAGCACCTGATTTTTTGCTCGGACTAAGATCTCTTCCCGTAAAAGGTAACTACCGTACTACTCCCCTGAAGCTGGCTCACGAAAAGATCCGCCGTAGATGTCATCTTCAAAAGTGATTCTAATCGCAGGCTGCTCGAACGGCGGCATCGGCGCCGCCCTGGCACTCGTCCTAGCTAGGCAAGGCCACCACATCTTCGTAACAGCTCGCAACATCCTCAAGATTTCAGACACCCTCAGCAGTCTCTCCAACGTCACAGTCCTCTCGCTCGACGTCGGCGATGACGCCTCTGTGGCCGCAGCAGCCCAGGCCGTGACCGAGAGCGGGCGTGGTCTGGATGTGGTCGTCAACAATGCCGCCGTCGGGTACGTGCGCCCCGTTCTCGACATCAATCTTATCGAAGCACAGCGATTGCATAATATCAACTTATGGGGACCTGTGCGGATGGTACAAGCTTTTGCGGATCTGTTGATTGCTAGTCGGGGTCGGGTTATCAATGTGAGCTCGTCGGCTTCGGTTGTTTATTCGCCTTGGTATGGTATGTTTGGACGCTTATCTTGTCATACATAACATCTGACCTACTCCGGATACTTCATACTTAATAAGTCATATTGACTAACTTCCTCGGGGGGGCCGAGTCCCTCTATAGCAACATACGCCACATCCAAAGCCGCGCTTAATACCCTTTCCGAAACGATGCGGCTCGAGCTTGCGCCGTTTGGTGTGAGCGTCGTCACCATCGTGCCGGGAATCATCGACAGTAATCTCCACGTCAACGATGTAGCTGGCTTCGATTTGCCCCCGATGTCTCGATATTCAGCGATCAAGCACATTATTGCGAGTTGGGCGGCGGGCGAGGTTCTGCCGAAGGGTAGTCTCTCGGCTGCCAAGTTCGCCGAGTTAGTGACTGGCGATATTGTTGGCACTGGGAAAGAGGGAATAGTGTATAGAGGCCCGTATGCTGCATTACTTCGATTTATAGGGCTGTGGGTGCCAAGGTGGCTCGCGGTAAGCATTTTGTTCTCTTCCCTCTCACCTACCTCCTTTATCTATAAGATTCCTGGGCGCGATATCCCGTGATGAGATATCCCCAATGACTATGTATAGACAAGCGCACATATCTGACATTTTACTCGTTAGGATTATCCCATCAGTCAAAATCAGGGACTCAAGGAGCTGGCTGCCTCAATCCGCACGTCACCGTCTACATGAGTGAAACCAGCCTAGACGTAGATGAATGATTGCTGGTATGGAATATAAAAGTGAATATTATTTCCTGACCATGTTTTTGCGTTGTCTTGGATTTTGAGGAGAGCAAGCAAAGCTACCTAGACTTTGCGAGAACTCCGGTTCCGATCGTCATGGTACCTGTGTAGAACGACACATGTGCCTTTCTTATGAGAGAAGGGATAGATGTTGATACTAAAAGTAGGGACTCTTTTATGTCTATAAACAAATCGATGATGATTTTTCCTACCGTATAAATCAACAAGGATCTTAAAATCAGAAACTTGTCTCATGAATATGCACAGCACAAATAACTACCACAGATGCCCTATTAGACATCCCGTGTCTACGCCCTAGATAACTATAAATATCAGTGACTTGAGTCTAAATATCTAATCTAGCTACCAAGACAGTCATTCTGCCTTACGATCGCCGTATATGTTTTACCTGGTGATACGGAGTAGTGAGACAACTAACCCATGTAGCCCCCCTAAAAGGCAACTAAAGTTCCAACGGAAAATATGGGGCCGCTCCGACAGCAACCGCCATACAAATCTGAGAAAATATAAAAGCTGGGGAAAGCTTTTCGCAACACCAACAATCTCACAACAAAACACGTCCACAATGAGCAATGCAGTGGCCCGGACGCTTCTACGGCAGTCACTCGTCCGGTCTGAGGCGAGAAGAACTCATTTCCTCCCAATTGGCTCTTCATCAGCTCTCTGTGTCGAGAAAATCAGCAGTCGCTACCATGTCACACGACCAGCAGCAACA